AGAACGTCGTCTTCATAAATCACCAACCATGTACGACAACGTTAGGCAGCAAATCGCGGACTACGTATCCAAGGGCTACGCACACAAGGCAACTCCACGTGAACTGGATGAGATGGATCCGAAGCGGACGTGATTTTTACCTCTGGGTTAGGGTCGTCTGGGATGCCGCTGCATCGGTGGAAGGCGTTTCCTTGAACTCCGTTTTTCTAAAAGGACCTGACTTGCTGACATCGTTGCAAGCAGTCTTATGTCGTTATCGACAGAAGGAGACCGCCATCAGCGGAGACATAATTTAAATGTTCCATCAAGTACCCATCATACTCCAAGATCGTACAGCTCAGTGGGTCCTGTGGCGGGACAATCCATCCGATCCGTTTCAAGTATACGTCATGGACGTCGCTATTTTCGGATCAACGTGTTCTCCTAGTTCGACGCAATTTGTGAAGAACCTGAATGCGGATGAGTATGCTGCGGAATTCCCGGAGGAGTCGGAGGTGATAAAGAAAAATCACTATGTGGACGATTACCTTGACAGCGTTGATTCTGTCGAAGAAGCAGTTCAGCTGGCATTAGACGTTAAGGAAGTGCACGAAAAAGCAGGATTCTTTATTTGGCATTGGATGTCGAACTCTCTAGAGGTGCTGCAGCGGATTGGGGAGAAGAACACGAAGTCGGTGAGGAGTTTCACCATGGACAAGGGTAGCAACCTGGAACGGGTATTGGGGATGGTGTGGCGACCACAAGAGGATGTCTTCGTATTCTCGATGACTTTCCGGGAGGATCTGCAACGTCTAATGGATGAATCCGTTGTGCCGAACAAAAGCCAAGTCCTGAGCTTAGTCAAGAGTGTGTTCGAACCATTAGGGATGATCACTCCCTTCGTAGTTCATGGAAAGACGATAGTTCAGGAAGCGTAGCGATCCGGAATTGGCTGGGATGAGCCGCTACCTGCAGATATCGTACCCCGGTGGGAGCAGTATGTAAAATTACTTGGAACACTGGATATGGTTAAGATACCCAGATGCTACTTTCCCGGCTACAGCGCTGGAGCCTACGATTCGCTCGAATTGCACGTTTTCGTTGATGCTAGCAGTACTGCATACGCCGCCGCAGTCTACTTCCGGATAGTAGATGGTGGTAAAATACGCTGCAGTCTCGTGTCTGCAAAAACCAAGGTGGCGCCGATTAAATTACTTTCAGTGCCACGGTTGGAGCTACAAGCAGCCGTAATTGGAACACGACTTATGAAGTCCATCGTAGCAAATCACACGTTGCAGATCAAGCGCAAAGTATTGTGGAGCGATTCTTCCGCGGTCTTGAACTGGCTTCGGTCAGACCCGCGAAAGTACAAGCAGTATGTAGCGTTCCGGGTAACAGAAATTCTGGACGAAAAGAAGGTCAGCGATTGGAAGAAGGTGCCCACGAGAATGAACGTAGCCGATGAAGCCACCAAGTGGGGTCATGGACCATGTTTCGAAGAACAGAGCAGGTGGTTCAAGGTCCCAGAGTTCCTGTATAAGCCGGAGTGTAGCTGGCCAGAGGAAGCGGTCGAGTCGACAACAGCCGAAGAATTAAGGATGGTCCATGTGCACCATTTGTCACCGACGCAGCCAGTCATCGAGTTCAAATGGTTTTCAAAGTGGGAAAGGTTAACCCGCACAGTAGCATTCGTTCTACGGTTTGGCTGCAGACAGAAGGACAGGGACGAATCAGAGAAGGACGGAGAAGCAACCTTGAGCGGTGAGGAGTGTAAACTAGCGGAGTCGACCGTGTTTAAGCTGATCCAAGCGAGTGAATACCCGGACGAATGCAAAATTCTGCGGAAAAATCAGCAAGTGCAGCTAGAGCAACGTAAGCGAATCCAGAAGAGCAGTCGGATATTCAAACTATCTCCGTTTCTAGACCCAAACGGAGTCATGCGAATGGGATCACGCATCGCTGCCGCGGAGTGCGTTTCAGATGAAGCCAAGTTTCCCGTGATCTTGCCGAAGGATCACTACGTCACGCAGCTAGTGATTAACTGGTATCATAAGAAGTATGAACACGCAAACAACGAAACGGTGGTGAACGAAATGTCTCAGAACTGCGAACAGCCGTCAAGAAGGTGGCAAGTTGCTGTAACTGGTGTAGAGTCTACAAATCGAAACCACAAGTCCCACCGATGGCTCCACTGCCTTCGGCGCGCCTTACGCCGTATGTCAGGACTTTCACCTTTACGGGACTGGTATATTTCAGTCAGATCACTGTTCGCTTTGGCCGTGGTGGTGTCAAAAGTTGGGTAGCGCTCTAGGAACCCGAGCAGTCCACTTAGAAGTCGCCTACACTCTGTCTTCCTACAAGATGGCAATACGTAGGTTCATTGCCCGCCGAGGTGCGCCACAGGAAATCTACTCAGATCAAGGAACCAATTTCCAAGGTGCTAGTACGGAGCTAAGGCAGCAGATCGGTGCCATCAATCGGGATCTAGCGGTGACGTTCACGAACGTAGACACGCAGTGGAAGCTCAACCCTCCTTACGCACCCCATATGGGAGGCATATGGGAAAGGATGGTGCGCTCAGTCAAGACTGGACTGGCATACATGGAGTTGTCAAAGAATCCGAATGAGGAGACCTTGGTAACTACTCTAGCAGAGGTGGAGTCCATGGTGAACTCGCGACCCTTAACCTATCTACCAATCGACAGCGAGGAATGCGCAGTCTTGACACCGAACCACTTTCTACTGTTGAGTTCAAGCGGAGTACTCCAGCTGGCGGTTCAGCCAATGGAGGAGAATATGGCATTGCGCTCGAACTGGTAGCAGGTTCAGGTAATGCTGGATCGATTTTGGGTGCGGTGGATCAGGGAATACCTGCCTGTCATCTCCCGACAACCAAAGTGGTTTGGAGAGATCACTCCAATCAACATTGGAGATTTGGTGGTCGTTGTGAACAAGAGTGTAAGGAACAGCTGGATCAGAGGAAGAGTCACTCGGGTGTATCCTGGGCGAGATGGACGAGTCCGCAGCGCGGATGTTCAGACCTCAGCGGGTATCATGCTCCGACCGGCAACGAAGCTCGCTACCCTGGATGTAGCCAGAGAAGGAAGTATAGCTTCAGGGCACTTGAAGCAATACGGTCGGGGCATGTTGGCACCACCCGCGAAAAGTTACCAAAGGGACGTAGATCAAGAATATCAAGCTACTTTGATCCAAGAGACGTTTCTCAGTGGAACTGACAGCTATACATCTAGAGTGTGTGAGTGATCTGGTGTTCATGGTGCTGAATGTAAACATAAACAAAGCAGAAATTCATATGAGAATAAACTGCCAGTTCTACTGTGATCTGTCAAAAGTTTTTGGGAAACAAAAAAGTCAGCTGACGCAACTGTCTCGTGGACAGCCTTGGTGAGATCATACGAACAAAATTAGAGACGAAAAAAAAAAAATTATTACAACTGCGTTCCATTTGGTAAATTGTCACTTAGTTTGACTCTTCTAAAATAATTTAAGATGTTCGAAAATTCCTCTGTTGATGAGTGCCCGACTTTCGAGAACGTGTCTGTCAAAGTTCATTCCTTGTCTGTCAGCAATAGCAGGTTTACTTGAACATTTTCCAACATTTGATTTAATTGTAAATTCCCCAAATTAGAACACAGCCTAGGAAAATGCGAGAGTGGTCAATCTTCTTGATTTGCTGTCTTCGTTTCTGCTCTTCAGTCCTCACAACTCATTACCAGAACCATACAGATCCCTCTTCAAAGCATTCGCTACTTCTTCTCAATAGGACACTTATGGCCACCCGTGCCTAGCTTCACCGGTGGTGAGTGAAAAACTGAAGAGGAGCGTGTGCGGAGGAGTCCTTCCATAAGGTTAGCACAAAAGTGTCTCTCGTGCTGTCTACCGTTGAAAAGAGATTCTTTGTACATTTTTTTGGTCCTTTTTGGTGCTCTTGAGACAGGATAAAGTTATGAAGAAAAATGACTTTTGACGGAACTCCGTTGTAAAGGGTTCGGCGGAAACCGCGATGCGGTTGTCCCCGTCTGCCTGAGGGAATGTTTTATTTTGGGTTGGAAAGCAACTTTAGCACCAGCGATAATTATGGCTATCTTAATGGGTTGTAAATTAGAAGTTATTTTCGGGGGTTTTCTTTATTCTTAAATAATTAGAAAAACTGAAATCTTAGTATGCATTGAATTAGTCAACAACTGCGAAAATTGCGTTTTAAGTGTACTTTGACAGGTGGTCATCTTTGGCCATCTTTGGTTAGCAAACGAAAAACAAAACAAAGTCAAAATCTACACGGACGATGAGACTGCCTCAAAAATGAGTTGAAAGCGTTCCAATTTTGAAAAATTTGAGTTGAATTTTGTGAGCTTTTCCCTAAAATTATTGTCGAACAGTTTTGGGAGGACCTTCTACCACCTACCAAATAATACCAAATGCGGTGGTGAAAATAAAGCAATAAATTCCTGATTTTTCAAGCTTAGCATAAATAAGACGAGGTTCCAGGCGAAAACAATATCAAAATATTGTTCCGCGGTAAAATTCGAGTGGTAGGAAACATCCTTTTAAACTGCTCGACTGATATGATCCATTTTGAGACGGTCTCATCGTCCGTGCAAGACGGCAACCGAAAGTGAACCGCATGACCCGAGAGCAAGGTAAATGGGGAATCCAGGTTAAACAACCGTTATCGGATGAAATGATTGGCTTACATAATAAAGTCAATTTATAAGATAATCCAGTTTTGTTGATGGTGCTGAATTTTTCTGATTCGCTCTGGCTCCGATGGAATTACACACGAGGGCAAACCATAGCCAGTCGACACCAAAAACAACAACAACAACAATATAGAGAGAGATCGGATACCATGGAAACCACAGGAAATTATGCTTTTCGGTACAGAATAATTTCCCCCCGGATTTGCATTTCCAGATTAAATCGAGTGGAAAATTTATTCTAATGCTAGTTCTTTTTCTTTTTTCCCCTCTTGTTTTTTTTGATTGTTTCTTTGTTCGCAGGTATGGATCTTCGGTGACGTGTGGTGCCGAGTATGGCTGGCCGTCGACGTTTGGATGTGCACCGCGTCGATACTGAACCTGTGCGCGATTTCGCTCGATCGCTACGTGGCCGTCACGCGTCCCGTCACCTACCCGAGCATCATGTCCACCGGGCGGGCCAAGTCGCTCATCGCCGGGCTGTGGGTGTTGTCCTTTGTGATCTGCTTTCCGCCGCTGGTCGGGTGGAAGGAGCAGAAAGTAAGTTGATTTGATTGATTGATTCGGTTCTGGTTCGATTGAGGCCGGGATGAGGGTATATTTTTAGAGCAATTCGCTTCCGCTAAACCTCGAAGGACGAGCACTGGGGAGGTTATAAATAGCTGCTAGCCGATTTCGAGAATTTATCAGCTCGGACCAAACATACATCTCCGTAAATAACGCATTATTTTTATGGAATATTTTATCGTGTGCTGCACGGTAAATTTTAAAGATTTAACCTTCTCTGAAAATGGAATCGAAGAGTCGAAGGAGGCCAGAAAAAAACTGCTTATACCGCATCGCAAACCTACATTTCATCGGATGAGATAATCATCCATCGGTAATTACCGGTAATGACCATCTCGGAAACTCACCCTATCGGTTTGTCGTCGGAAATTTAATCACACTCGGAAAACAAGGGTAAGTACAATTTCAAATGCAGCCGAAGAATGCAAACCGCAAGTTACATTTCTGATTTCCCCATGGAACATCCAGCTGCAGCTTTGTAATGAAGAGGATTCCTGTGGACCCAGTAGGAATTAATTTTCTTTCTCCATCGCATCATTCCAATGCGGCGGGACCAGATCGAAGACCGGACCGGACCGAACGGGAATAAATATTTACTAAACCCTGGTCAATTGAAGTGTAATTCCCAGTTCCTTCATTGGACATTCCGAGGAAAAATGACTGAGATTTAAATTAATTTTATGGAATCAATCCCTTGCCCAAGCGAAGGAACGTTGAAAGCTGGATCGATTATTCATGGCGGCGGGCATTTGGGACGTTTGGCTCAGTTCGAGGGGAAATTTTCCTTTATGATCTATATCCATTCCCAAGAAACAGAGATGTACGGAATTCGATACATTTATTAGGTGCACGGATTTTCGTCCCGCACGCTATTTTTCAGGAATTTTGTAAGGGAATTTATGGAGAAAAATTTAAGCGAACTAACGAATTATTAAGAATTTGAAGAGGTTTGCCGAACAAATATCAAGAGCAGGGCCCCACAAAGTCACTTTCAATCGAAAACCGTCAAGTGACGATGAAGCTGTCAACCAGGGTTGCTGATTATCGCTTCGTACCACTCAAATTCGTTCAATGTTCCCAGAAGTAGTCAAAACAGATGCAACAAAGCATGTACTCTCGAATGAATCAAACGCTGTCAATGCGATGCGTCTCGATGAGTGACCTGGGAGAGAGAAATGTTCGTGCTGTTCGTGCTATCTCCATTTCAGACTCGATTCGGCCCACTCATGAAAAGTCGAAGAAGAAGTTTCATTCGTTACCGTTCGTATCGTTCGTATCGCTCGTATCATTCGCTTCATTTGCATTTGTATCATTCGCATTATTCGTTCGCGCCGATAACGGACCATTATAGTTAGTACTCGACGCGGAAAATAAAAATCGCAATGAACCGAGGTGCTTTGAAACAAAAATTGAGGGACGTGGTGGAGGTAAAAACTGATGCGGAAGGAGTGACCAAATATCGGTGTTTGGCCGACGTTGATGCTGAGCGGCAGTGTAGCTACGAGCAGGTTAATTTTGTTCCGGGGAACTTCAAGCGCCATCTCATCTCGTGCCATAAAGATGTCGCCCACCGGTTGGATTTGATAGTGGAAGGCAGTGGAGGCGAGCAAAGTACGGCAAAGCGTCCTCGCCCGTCGTCGTCGTCCAAAATTACCGCAGAAACTGATCGAAAACAAGTGCTTCTTGGAACGCTTCTGCTAGCTACGGAACATAACCTACCAATCAGGTTTCCCCAGTGGCAGGGTATGCAGATGCTCGCGGGTCCCTCATGGAAGGCTTGCGGTCTTACCATTACACGGAATACGTTACCGACTTACTTAGCTCGTGCTGCTGAAATAATGCGGAAACTCATGTCCGATCTGTTCCGGAACAAACTCGTGTGTCTGAAAGTTGATTCAGCTACGCGTCAAGGGAAATCGATATTTGGAATCAACTTAACTCTAGCGGATGATGACGGAAATATTCAGATTTTTCATCTTGGTAAATATAGTAGATACTGTATATAGTTGCATAAATGCCTTGTCAAATTTTTCCCTATTTTCCTGTTGAAACATGTCTTGAATAAGTAAGTTTAAAATTTTGCACGAGTCGCACATTTTTTGAAGCCCCTTGCCCCAAAAAGCTTGAGGAATGTTAGGTAATGAATGGCTCCGTGTCTTTTGTAACAAAATAATGCCCTGCAGATTTGGGTTTTAATTCACTGATATTCTATGTTACGAACCCCAAGAAAAGGTCCAGGGAACTTTAAGGTGGATCCGGTGGATATCCTCGAAGAACCTACACGACTTTTAATCTCCTAAATAAGAAAGCCTAGAAAAGTGTTGGAACACTAGGGTGCCCAAAAAAGACCGTTCCCGCGTCACGATGCCACTTATTCCTCATGCCACCCTTAGGCTCTGGTCCGAATTTGAGCCAAATCGGTCCACAATTACCTATTTCTAAAGCGGGTTGAAGTTTGTATGGGAAAAATCATCAAGACCTACAGAGAAATATCATGACTTCAGAATTTCGCCACTAGATGGCATTGTGAACGTGTCAATCACCATCAAGTCTGAGATTCTCATAGGAAATTTTATGCACAACAACTTTGTCCAAGACCGCAAGACGATTCGAGTTTATCCAAAGTTATTACCATTTCATTGAAGGTTGTCTGACTGATACTGGCGAAGGGTTAAAACAGTAACGAACAAATCCATTATGCATTTTTAGTTCCTAGTGTGACAAGTGTTAGGGTTAGGTGTTGGTATTGAAACGTTCACAACGCCACCTAGTACCGAAATACCTACTGAAGTCATGGTATTACCATAGAGGTAACTCTAAGACCAGAAGGTCCCGAAGAAACCAGCTCAACTTTTTGGCTCAGCTCTGGTAATATCTTCGGTCCCAAGCTAATCGATGCACCCCTCGAAACATAGGATAATCCACTAACCCCTCATTTTATCTGTCAAACTTTCATAGCTAATCAAAACAAACACAGTGTAGTACTAGATTTTTTTTAACTAGTTCGTTTATTTGGGAGGCTCAATCGCGTTAGCTTTACGGAGCCGATAGTTCATTGTTCTTTGTTTGTAACAAAATTCACTTAATTCTATGTCTAGTAGGAGTTGGGCCGAATACTCGCGGCTTACTCGAGGTTAAAGAGGTACATTGTCGAAGGATAGGATCAGGGAGGAGTTTGGGGGTAAAGTTTCGTTGTCTCATCAGAGCGTTGTCGCCAGTATGAATGGTAGTGCGGTTCTAGTTACGTCTGGAGTTCGACCGGCTATGGTGACCAGTGGGCGACGATGAGACTCATCGAGACGGGGGGACAAGACAAACAAAAACTATTAAAGAGAGACAATACTACTACTAGAATTTCGACTAGAATGGGGTACGTTAATCGTTTGCTTGGGACCAATAGGCTAGTCAAGTAGTGAGCCAATTTAAAATCGTTAGTTTCGTATTGATTGTTGGTATTACTCCATACGTTTCGATGATTTTTTACATAGGTACAAACTTCAACCCGCTTTTAGAAATGAGTAAATGTTGACCGATTTGGCTCAAATTTGGACCAGAGGGAGCATGGGAAAAGAGTGGCTCCGTGATGCGGAAGCTTGTCGAAAAAATGACAAAATCCTGGCGAGAGAAATCCCAGATTTAGAAATTTAGACACCCTCTCCCTCTCATAGCGTATTTTGCCATACCTAGTACATGGTCAGAGACAACTTTTGAAACCCTCCCTCCCCTCTAAAATGGTCATGAGTCAAATATTTTTCAATATTTATTAATAGTAGATGGAGATTTTTTATCGTAGGATAGATATGCAATCCGTAGAAATACATCGAATATATCTATTAATTTGGCAGTAGCTTCGGCATAATCGCTTATTTACGTAACACCGAAGAGAAACATCAAATATATCAATGATTTTGACGTGAAAGAATCAATTTTTCGATGAATACGATGCTTTTGTTGAAAAGTTGCAACAAAAAGCCTCAAGCCTACAAGAATACAAAGGATGAATATTTACACCAAATTATACCAATAATCTATTATTATTTGTTCAACAAGCTGTGCAAATTTCAGAAGATTTACTGTATCTACTAAAAAGTTACAGCTCTTTCAAATTTTTTGTTGATACAAAAAATTACGCTGTATACTTTATTCTAATCAGCACTGTAAACGGTTCATAACTTTTTGCACATAAGTCGAATCGATTTGCGATCTTCGGCAAAATTGTTCTGCATAGTTTTCTCAATCTCAATCCCAGGTATGAGCAATGTTTGAATTTTTGATATGCAAATGACTAGTTTCATTTTCCCATGCAAACTTAACATTCTACTGCAAAACCAGATCTCAACCAAATTCGCTCAAATTTTACACAGTTGTTGGGGACCATAATACACATCGAAAGACCGGTGAGGAGCAAGGGGTTGCAAAGTTGACACATCCTAATGTGTTTATGTTTAATGTTATATATACAGTACTGGCCATATTAAAGTACGCACCATGATTTTAATGCCACTCCAAAAAAAGTTCAAAGAGCTGTAACTTTTCAGTAGGTGCATCAAATCTTCTGAAATTTTGGCTGCTCATATATATATATATAATATATAAATATTTCTTTCTCCAAATACAGCGGCGCATGAAATTTCAGGGCGCCAAACAAAAGAAAATCTTACAAGAGTTATCGACGAAGAAATCGCATCATTTGGCCTCGAATACAAACAAATCGTGGCCATAACATCTGACAACGGGCAGAATATGCTTGCAACTGTTCTTGAAATGAAAAAAATTTTCGGACCAGGTATTACAGGACCTTTGGCATCCATTCTTTCGAAAGAGAACGCATTGATTGGTAAACTGATAGAGAAAACTGATGCGGATAACGATATAGAAGTAGCAGAGGATGCTGAAAAAGAGGAAGAGGAGGGGGATGAGGAGTGTGACGCGATACACGCGAACACGAACAGGAACACGAGCAGGAACACGAT